TCCTTCTATATTAATACAAACTTGGTCACATGGTCTAAATCGTTGGCATTCATTTATATCCACGCAAGTAAGTTTATCACTACCTAACTCGTAACCTTGAATACATGAACATGTATAACTTCCGACGGTGTTATTACAAATTTGGCTACAATTATTAGACATATTTTGACACTCATCTACGTCATAACAGTTTATGCTATCGCTTACATAGCCCGAATTACAAGCGCAGCTATAAGAACCAATTTGATTAGTACATGTAGCGACATTACTGCAGTTATTTGATCCAGTAATACACTCATTAACATCAGTACATCCTCTATTATCACTATTCAGAGTATAGCCAGGCAAACATTGACAATTGTAACTCTACAAGTAGCATTACTGAAGCATGGTTGATCTGCACATGCATCAAAATCTTGTGTATAATGATTACCAGTCCAAGCAGGATTGCATCTACATTCAACTTGATCAACATTATCAACAGTAACCCATTTCGGCTGCGTAATCGCATGTGCCATTATTCGAGCAATAGCACATAATAATTTGAGGTGCAAGCTCGCTTCTTGCTCCTTTATTATCTGTAGCAACAAATGTTAATGAAATATTCTCATAGGTAGATATATTCCATGTAAATGTGTAAGTTTGTCTATCGAAATGGGAATTTATTGGAGGATTAGTCATCTCGACTGTAACAATGTCGCCATTATTAAGATCTGTTATGTTCAATGTTGTAGTAAACATATTTCCATAAGTGACATTATATGTCGTCAATCCAGAAATTTGAGGGGGGAAATTTTCTAATTGATTACTTGTATCTTGATATATCTGAGATGTATCTTTACTAACGACAGCAGCATCAAATAAACATTCACTATTATTACCGCATTGTGCTACGGCTTGGTTATAGAGTTCCGTATTATTAGCAAATAATGCTTGAATATTTTGACCAAAGATTGGCGTAAAGTTTGGATCTGAATAATTACTAGCCGATAGACCATTAGAATAGGTAAAAAGTGAATCACTAGCATTAATCATCCATAATTGGCCAAAAATTGTAAAATATTTGGGATTCTGTTGAATTGATATTCAAGTATGATCCATGTGGTCGTTTGAAATCATGATTGATATTATCATTCCAAGTACCTAAAAGACCAGATGTTATACCTTTAATTTCATCAGGTCCATTGAAAGCAATAGTTAGCATTTGTGTTAATAGTGTAGCTTCCATAGATACTCCAGACGTAAAGATCGCAGCTACTGTTATATTTGATAATCATTGTACGTCCTTGTAACTGAAAATTTTTATTTATAGTTTGCAATAGAATATATTCACCCAGTCCATTGAAGGTGTATAGTTTTCCATCAAATGTCCTTACATGAGGATCACCCCAGAACCACGCTTTTCGCGGTGCTTTATATCCAACACATTTATTGATAGGTCTTTTCTTTAAGTAGAGACTACATAGGCTAGATCGCATGCAACAATCCGTTAGAGCCTCATTGTTTCTGGCTTGTAAGGTAGTATTCCTGAAAATAAATGAGCTTCCAAAGGGATAATTAGTAATTAATGAACCGAAAGATTTTCCTGCTAAAGAGTAGCAGCATCGTTGATATATACGCTCGCCACTGAAAACTCTTCGTGAAAACCTTGATCTCGCGTAAAATGTATTCAAGTTTAATCTAAATCGTCTATCACGAATAGCTTGAAGGATAGAGCAAGGGCATAGCCTTCGTAGTAATTCATTTAGATAAACATCTGGTAATGGTTCATTGACGAACCAAGTTCGGCAACGTTGAGCATAATTAATATGATTTATAGAGGGATCATCAACTCTGTACATCCATCTGCCT